TTTTTGGTGTGCTTGTTAGCATGGCTCCAAAGAAAGTGCACTGGGAAAATTTGCTTCAGGTCGCGACCAATTCGGGTCGCAACCAGAGTCATGGAACGAATTAAGTTCGTAAACCGAGGTTCCACTGTACCTTGCCAGCTGCTAAAACATCTACTTCCAGGCCAATGTTCAAACAGAAACAATAACTATTTTTGTATCCACCATTTTGAAAATGTTGAGATGTAATTCTCCATTCTCCAGTATTGGCAAGAAATGCATCTACTTGGCAACACTGTATGTAAATGTACATATGATTATTTCTTCAAAACAAAACAAAAAACACCCAACTCATGTGAAAATGAAATGAAAATATTTTAAGTTCAGAAAAAAAGCCAGAAATTGGGAACTGAAGTTGAGATTACTTTTCAATTCTAGTTTGCAATCACCATGTAATACTATATAATTTACAGTTTTTCCTAAATTAATTGCTTTTCCATATATTTTATATGATCCTTACAATGCAAATCACACATGTCTACAATAAGGAATTGTAGAACAAAATTTTAAATGAATTTATTGTGAGTGATCAACAGTAAAGACATCTATAATAAAATTACTCATTTACATAGTTACAGGCATATACAAATTGTTACTTTGTTTATACAAAATTTAAACCTAGAAAAGAGCCAGTTTGGCATAGTGGTTAAGGTACTGGACTATCTAGGCGACAGTGAGTTCTAGTCCCCGCAAGGCATGGAAATCTACTATGTTACTTTGGGTCAGTCACTCTCTCAGCCCAGCCCACCTTGCAGGGTTGTTGCTGTTGGGAAAATAGGGAGAGGGAGAATTATGCCTTGAGCTGTAAAAATAAAGTCAAGATATAAATCTAATAAATGAATTAACCACATGTTTACTTACCTATAGTGTCTGGAAGGTCCAAAAGTTCATTGTGCTGTAGGTCAAGTTTGGTGATCTGTGTGCAATTTCCAATCTCTTTTGGAAGATGTTCAAGCTGATTGTGGGCTACATCCAGCGTTATGAGGTTACACAACTCACCTGACAATGTACAAAGTCACATGGTTTGAGATTTTGTAGTAAAACGGGATAAAAGCATTTCAGTATTTAAATAAATAAATACAAGCATTTAATATTGTCATTTCATCTGATGGATTACAAGGGATTATGGCTAAGATTAAGAAAGCACAAAAAATATAAAGACAAATACATCAAGTAATGCCACTTTTTTAACATTCTTAAATTTGAATGAACTGTTATCGCTTGCTTTTAACATCCCATACCACTATATCTTTTGCTTAGCTCAGTTTTCATTAGACATACACTACAATAATTTCTTTTAAAAAATCCAATCCAAGGTACTGTTGTTTGAACCCAAACATTTCAACTGAGTTTTAAAACTGTATTATGGAGAAATTCTGTAGGAAAAGTGATGCTGTTATGTCCTGGAGTTCCAAGATGCATCTCCGTATTTTTATAAATTCTTGCAATAATGAGGAAGCTGTATACAAGTAAATAAAATTAACATTTATATAAAAGTATGGTAAAATGGAAATATTGGCTTGGAGAAAGATTGCCATCTGTGCAACTTACATTCCACTTTTCAATGTATAATTTAAAAAAATTAAAGTAATTCATATTAATGGCCTAGCCAATACCAAGAGGTACCTGCCTTATTTATTTTAGGTGTTATTATTGTATTGTATTTTTATTATGTTATTTTTATCATTTTTAGATTTTTAAAAAACAACTGCATGTTGCTTTTAACATGTTGCAAAAGAAGCAGCAGCTTCCAGTACTCTTTTCATTTCCAGGAATGCTTGAAGAATTCAGATGATCCCAAAAAGTATTCTTTAAAAAAGTAAAACATTAAACTGTCCAAGAAAAAGAAAATGATATGGGTCAACAGAAGGAGTGTGGAGAAAATGAGTGTGCTCTTTGCCATGGCCCAAAATGGTTGTTGGTGTACTTTCTGTACAAACTTATTACCTGTTATGGTGTTACGAGAGTTTTGCATAGGGGGAGAGCTGTGTTTTTCTGGTCAGTTTAAAAGTCTGCTAATATATGAAGCAGTACAAATAAGCATTTTGACTTGTCTGTTTTTTTAACATTATTACATGAATTGGCCTTCTGTGAAAACTTAGTTTGTTGTGCATTATGGAAATAAACATAAGAAAACTTATAGGGGAATCAGGAGCCCATTTCTACCTTGCACTCAGTTTCATGACTAGAATAATTTTCTCTAAAACTCACTTGTTTGCCTTCAGTGAAATGACTGTTGGAATAGAAAATTTTTGGATCTGAAAGAATGACTTTATGTTTTGGAGCTTAAAATGAATCTTGGGTGTGTATTTAGATTCTTGGCAAGTTGCTATTCTTTTATCCTCATGAAATCATCCTTCTGAAATTTGTTTTGGTATTGGCCAAACTCACTAAGAGCTAATGAGCAAGATCATCAACCAACCGATAAGAGTACTCACATGACACTCTTAAAATTCAAAATATGACTATAGGCTATATTATGCCTTGGAAAATAAATAGAATTCTTTCAAGCACTGAAATTATACCAAAGATTGTTCCATGAAACTCCTAAAAAAGGATAGTCCATAAAGAGACCACCATCTCTGAGAAAGTTCTCTCTGTGATTGCTACCCATTCTATTTTCAATTATAGATTTCTTCAGAGAAATGAAGCAGGTATGCATTTCAGTGCATGGGGAGTCTGATATGAAAAGATAATAAATCTTTATGTTTAATGGTAAAGAAGAGAAAGAAAGACAATATGCAACTTCTGCACACACCATGACACTGCTTTTATTACTATCTGCCGAATTCAGCTCTGGATTTCAGCCTTAATTGAAAATACAGGTAGACCTTGCTTAGCAACTGCCTCGGGCAGCGACCATTCAAAGTTACGATGGTGATGAAAAAGTAATTTTGTGATTAATGCCCGCATTTACAGTGTCCCTTTCTTAGTCATGTGTTTGCCATTACAGTCAGTTAGCATGCATTGTCTTGTGCTCATTTTTTCTCCCCGCATCTCTTCCTGAGCTGCTTTTCTCCACAGTGTAGTATGCCCCTAAAAAGTGCTAGCAGCAAGTTAAGCAACTCTGTGACCTTAATTAGCTGGCTGGCAGCTGCTGCCTGAACTGACAAGACCTTGCTCAGTTTCACACCCTGGGCTTTTGTTTGTTTCCTAAGTGGCTTGGGACTTGGAGCTATGACTGCACTTGACAAACAACTGGTGCCAGCACATTCCTTCTGATGTGTATTCCCCACTGTGCACCTGCTTACTCTCTTGTAATCTCTTCCTCTCCAATGACTGTAAATACAAATATTAATTCCCTTGTTAATTATCCCAGAGCTAAGTGAGCATTCCAAATGGTGGGGAAATGGGGAAAAGGGGCTATAAGATTTGCCCTTTTATGCAGCTTCCTCATGAGTTGAGTTCCAGAAACCATCTCTGCGGCTTGGGTTCATCCAGCTGTTTGGAGTCGTATCCTTCTGATGCTGCATAGGGATGCTGAAGCAAAATTGTAAGCACAGTTGTAGTCACATGATTTTCCACTTAGCAACCACATCACTTAGCGACCAAGTTGCCGGTCCCAACTGTGGTCACTAAATGAAGACTACCTGTAGATAGTATGGTCTACACTGAGAAAGTTAATGAGAAAGCATATATACTAAAGCAAAATACAAGTAATCTCAGAACCTCCATCATCATGTCTATGTACATATAATTTATACATACAAATAATAACCTAGATATGGAATTTATTTCCACAAACTTATATTTTTCCAGTTCCAAGCCTCCAAGCAGCTTACACAGTTAAAAATTACACAAAGATACAATACCGTGCAAACGTTTTAGGCAGGTGTGAAAAAATGCTGTAAAGTAAGAATGCTTTCAAAAATATATATTGTAAT